AATATAATGCAGCATCTGATAGATATAAGAATCTTGAGATCATATATATTACATTACAAATTGATCGCAATTTTTAAAGAGTGTACTACGTGTACATATTGTCTACGACGCAGATTCTGTTCTAGATGTAGTACAGGAAATACAGGTAAATTACGTTAATCTTATGCTCGCCCACGTGGCTTTTTTCGGGAAGTCGTTTCTTCGGTCGACACAACACCTATGGTTGCAACCATACGCTTTGGACGACCTGCGGTTTTGCTACTTTGTTGTGTATTTTGCGCAGATGCTGAAAATTAAGTTACAACATAGTATTAAACAAAATGTAGTACCATCGCTTTGTCGTGTATGCAATGAATCTGAATGAAGGTCATGGAAAGTATGTATATCATAAGAACTATTTACCCCGTAGTTTTGTCCTTGAAACTTCGATTGTGGTGATATTCTGTTGCTTTGTGCTCTTTTTATTTTCACCTTTTTTAACATCAGTATTGTTTTTAGTTGCATCTACTGATGCGTTGGATGTGGTTACTGTCGTGGTGGTAGTTACAGTGGGATTACTAGTAGCAATAGTAGTGTCATTTCCAGACTTTGTATTTCTGTTTAATGCTCTTTCTGCTCTACTAGATCCCTTTGCAACCGACTTTGCAATTGCTAATGCTTTATTGACTGTTCGTTTTTTAGAACGATTCGATTTAGGTGATTTTTTTCCTGATTCATCTTCAGGAGACTCTTCTTCAGAGGAGCTTTCTGTTCGTTTTGATTTCTTACGTAAATTTTGTTTTTGTTTGTGCATGTTGTGACTTTTTCTTCTCTTTAATTGTGATTCATCTTTATAAAGTGAAAGGTCAACTGTGGATAAGATATAAAAATTTTAATTTCATAAAATATTGTTACAAATTTCGATAGTATAAATAACAAACAAGTAATATTAAATAACAACATTATTACGTTTCATATAGAAAATAATTAAATGAATTAAATACTATCAGAATCATATTGAATTAGAACAAAAATGGAATTTACAATAAAACATGTACATGATATCTTAAGGTTTTC